AATTAACCTGCTGTATTTGGTCAATATTTAATTAACTCAGCCCTCACATGATGTCTGGCACTGCTTCTCTTTGGTAAGAAGTGCATTGTTAGCTGATATCGATGCTTTCACAGGCCTTATACAGTCCCACAAGGAGCCCTGGTGGTGTAGTGGTTACACATTGGACTGACTGCTAATCACAAGATCTGCAGTTCGATGCCACCAGTGTCAGGAAAAAGACCAGGCTTTCTTTGCCAATAAAAGTGATAGTCTCAGAAACCCACCTGGGGCAGTTCTACCCGGTCCTATCGGGTCACTATGAGTTGGAATGGACTGGATGGCAGTGAGGGTTTGTTTTGTTTTTTAAAAAACACAGCTTGAAGGCCAGAGGTTCCCTACCCTGGCTTAAATGATTCCTGTGAGAGGCCTTCTCTGGCCCTGACTTTCAACTTCCAGCACTCTCTAGCCCTGTCTTTACTTACTGGCACTTACTGCTGTGTTTACTTACTGGCACTTACTGCTGTGTTACATCCTGTATTTTCTTTATTGAATTTTTTCTCCCCACTGGATTTTGAGCTCTCAAAAGCCCAGTATTTTTGCCCAGTGTGTTCACTTTTATATCTGAAGTGGGAGAAAGATGGAAACCCTAGGGAGAAGTTGGGGCTTTCTACTCCCATAAAGAGTTACAGCCTTGGAAACCCGTTGGGATGTTCTCCCCTGTCTGATAAGGTCGCTAAGAGTTGGCATTAACTCGATGCAGTTGAGTAGTAGTAGTATATCTCAAGCATCTAAAACTATTTGTTAATTGAATGACTCTCTAGAAGTGATGCCTTTTAATCATAGTGTTGGTGAACAATATTGACTATTCCATGCACTTCCAGAAGAACAAACCAATCTTTCTAGGAACAAGTACAACCAGAATGTTTGCAAGAAGGGAGGATGGTGAGACTTCATCATATGCATTTGGGGCATGCTATCAAAGGGGTCCAGTGCCTGGAGAAAAGCATTTCATGCTTGGTAAAGTAGAGGGTCAGACAAAAGAATAAGAGTTGCAGTGAGATGGGTTGATGGAGCAGCTGTAACAAGGAGCTCAGACAGAAGAACAATTGTGAGGATGACCAGAACCAGGCACTGTTTCATTGTGGTGTGCATATACCCGATGCTATTGAGTCAATAGCAACCTATAGATACTCTGTAAGGCAAAATAAAGCTGTTCCCTAGACTTTCCAAAGCTTGACATCTCTATGGGAGCAGAAAGGCTCATCTTTTTCTGACAG